AAAGGATTTATAGTGAAAACTTTGTTTTTATGGGTTAACTTTTTACTTTGTACTTTTCGTAACTATTTCCATTGGAGTATAACAGGTGAGGCTGTGCCTCCCCTAACTCGCCTCACCACGGGGAGAGAGAAAAAAAAGACGAAGACTCCAAATATACAGCAGCAGGCGTCAGGGTCAGGATCGAACCCATGACCTCCTGCGTACAAGGAGAGGTTGTTAACATCTCCTAGCCACCATGCCCCCCCTGCATGGCACTCTGGTACAACGTTTGGGCTTATTATTATAATTAGTTTATTAATTAGTTTAGTTGTGAAGAGGCTTGGCCTGCCATACCCACCGAGGTTCAGCATGACGGCATGGTTCTGCTTGATGTATGGAATCAGATTTACAGAATCAGAATATCAGAATTAGAATATGTATTGTACTGGAGGAATCCGATGAGGTGTCAGGCTCGAGATGGAACCCGCGACCTCCTGCGTACCAGGCGAGGGAGTTAACATCTCCTAGCCACCGCTGGTCACCGCACCAACTCCGCCCCCCACACCCCCTCCGCCCCCTCACCCCACCGCCCCCTCCGCTCAGACTAAAGCGGAAGCCCTGGAGTACGTGTGGAGCATCTTGCAGGGCGTGGAGGAGGATGAGCAGCAGGAGGAGGAGTTCAGGGGATTTGAGCTGAGGGAGGTGCACAAGGCCAGGATGGCGATGTTCAGGCTGGAGCGCAGAGCCACCGCCTGCAAGGAGGCCCTGAGGGTGGCGCTCCAGAGGATACGTGGAGGTGCGTAGCTTGCAGCGGTGATTTCTATTCACACCGCAACTCCACGCTCCCCTCTATTCTCACCGGAACTCCACACTCCCCTCTATTCCCACCGGAACTCTACACTCCCCTCTATTCTCACCGGAACTCCACACTCCCCTCTATTCTCACCGGAACTCCACACTCCCCTCTATTCTCACCGGAACTCCACACTCCCCTCTATTCCCACCGGAACTCCACACTCCCTTCTATTCTCACCGGAACTCCACACTCCCCTCTATTCTCACCGGAACTCCACACTCCCCTCTATTCTCCGGAACTCCACACTCCCCTCTATTCTCACCGGAACTCCACACTCCCCTCTATTCTCACCGGAACTCCACACTCCCCTCTATTCTCACCGGAACTCCGCAATCTTCTGTTGCTGCTGATGGAAGTCGCCACTGCTGTTGATGCTACTGCTACATGTGCTCCTGTCAGGGCTGCTGCTGGTACTGATGCAGCCTATGAACTAAACGATGTTTATTTACCAGGGTAAGCCCCACTGAGCTGTGTAACTGTTTTTCAGAAGCGACCTGGCTATCACAAATGAGAGCTCAACGAAGTGACTTGTCATCATCATCATTACGTGGACATTTACAGCAGCCAAATACTCTCAACACGTGACATTGATTCTAAATGTCGAGGGGAAAAACCGGAGGACCCGGAGAAAAATCCAGGCAACCACGGGGAGGTTCAACACGCAAACTCCAAATATACAGCGTGGGTCGTCAGGGTCGGGATCGCACCCACGACCTCCTGTAGACTATGCGAGGGAGTTAACATCTCGCCACAGAGGAGAGAGAGACACGCAGACTCCAAATATACAGCAGGCTTCGTCAGGGTCGGGATGGAATCTGCGACCTCCCGTATACCACGAGAGGTAGTCAACATCTCGCCGTGTTTGCCTGCAGGCTCCTCCGTGCCGCCGGCCTCCGCCCAGGCTGTGGCGGTGTCGCGCAGCGCTCGCTCTCGCTACGGCCTGCGCCCGCGCGAGAGGAAAGTCTACACAGAGGTGGAGGAGCCCCAGGACGACGACTTCTTCTGTGAGACCCCCTGCTCCCCCTACCTCTCTCTCACTTTCTCACAATGTCAGTTTGTCACACTCTCATACTCTTAGTTCTTTCGGTAAAGTCACGTAAGTAAAAAATGAAATAAAAATTTATAAAAATAAAATAAAAATCACGACGTTTCGGAGGCAACACAAGTCTCCGTCATCAGGTGGGACCGTCACAGCCAGATTTGGTGCATTATTTTATTATTTATTTTATTAATTTTAATTTCATTTTTTACCTACGTGACTTTACCGAAAGAACTAAGAGTATGAATCCTTGCAGTCACGAAAGCTTCAAATCTAGAATGTCACACTCTCACCCATCAGTTTGTCACACTCTCACCATCTATCTCTCTATTGCTCCCGCACTCTCACTCGATTATTCCACTTGCTCCTCTCACTCTTGCCCCCTTTCCCTCCCTCTCACACGCTCCCTTTCTCACACTCTCACTTACCTCTCTCTCTTTTGCTCCCTCACTCAGGGATGCAGGGAGGGATGCAGGGAAGGTGACAGGGTTTACATCTCCGATGAGCGAGCTAAAGAAGTTCCCCATGCAGAGAGGGAGGGAGGGAGGCATCTGTCTGGAGCGCTCCTCACCCTCTCACTCTCTCACAGTGCCACTGCTGCTGCTGCTGTTGCTACTGCGGTTCGCCCTCCTCCCGCTGCTGCTGCTGTGGCTCTCAGTCTGCGAGCTGTGCAGGGATTTCTACCTGGGGGATGCTCCGTGCACGGCCCGCCAGAGTTCATCGCGGACGCGGCCGTGGCCCCGGGAGTGGCCAACAGGGCTCGGCTCAGCCTGCCCCAGGGCCTCACCGTCGGCGCCTCCTCCATCGCCGGCGCTGGCCTCGGGGTGTGGAGCAACAGGAAGAAGCTGCCCAAGGGGGTGATGTTTGGGCCCTACCAGGGAGAGGTGTCTGAGGAGAACCCCGTGAGCGAGTACTGCTGGCTGGTGAGCTGCTGCTGCTGCTGCCACTGCCACTGCTGCAGCCTCCTCCTATTCCTACATCATCATCGTGTGTGTGGAGAGGAGGCTCGTGAAGGAGATACAGAGAAACCCACAGACTCACACAGATACGCAGAGACTGGCACAGAGAGACCCAGATACTCACACAGTCACCCACAGACTCACACAGAGACCCAGAGACTTTGCACAGAGAGACCCAGAGACTCACACAGTCATCCACAGACTCACACAGAGACCCAGAGACTTTGCACAGAGAAACCCAGAGACTCGCACAGAGACCCAGAGACTCACACAGTCATCCACAGACTCACACAGAGACCCAGAGACTTTGCACAGAGAAACCCACAGACTCACAGAGAGACCCAGAGACTTTGCACAGAGACCCAGAGACTCGCATAGAGAGACCCACATACTTGCACAGAGACCTAGAGACTTGAACAGAGACCCAGAGACTCACAGTGGGACACACAGACTCACACAGAGACCCAGAGACTCGCACAGAGAGACCCAGATACTCACACATAGGCTCAGAGAATCGCACAGAGACCCACAGACTCACAGAGACCCAGAGACTCGCACAGAGACTCGCACAGAGACCCAGAGAATCGCACAGAGACCCACAGTCTCACACAGAGACCCAGAGACTCGCACAGAGCCTTAGAGACTTGCACAGAGACTCAGTGACTCACAGAGGGACCCACAGACTCACAGAGAGACCCAAAAAATTACGTAATTACGAGTTAAACTTGTAACCCACAGTAGCCGCTCGCTCGCAAGGACAGAACAACTTCAATGCGCGAGGAGGAACCACAGACAAGTGGTTCTGCCTCACGCACTCCTTACACACAAATAAACCATGATACCTCGCCGCTGATCTCGTCAAGAAGCATAAACCATCATCACGCAAACTCTGTTCATGCTCACAGATACCCATAGACTCACACAGAGACACATAGACTCGCACATAGACCCATAGACTCGCACAGAAACCCATAGACTCGCACAGAGACCCATAGACTCGCACAGAGACCCATAGATTCACACACAGACCCATAGACTCGCACAGAGACCCATAGCTTCACACAGTCACCCACAGACTCACACAGAGACCCAGAGACTCGCATAGAGAGACCCAGAGACTTTGCACAGAGACCCAGAGACTCACAGTGGGACACACAGACTCACACAGAGACCCAGAGACTGGCACAGAGAGACCCAGATACTCACATAGAGGCTCAGAGAATCGCACAGAGAGACCCACAGTCTCACACAGAGACCCAGAGATTCGCACAGAGACCAGAGCCCCACACAGTCACCCACAGACTCGCACAGAGACCCAGAGAATCGCACCGAGAGACCCACAGACTCACACAGAGACCATAGAGACTTGCACAGAGACCCAGAGACTCGCATAGAAACCCATAGACTCGTACAGAGACCTAGAGACTCACCCAAAGAATTTCAGAGAGACCCCCAGAATCACAGAGAGACCCAAAAATTTACGTAATTCTAATTTCAACTTGTAACACACAGCAAGACGTGGTCACCGCATGGCGTGGCGCTTACAGATGCACTTCTGCGGCCGTCTGGAAGGTTCTTCCTTCCAATGTTAGGAAGCCACTGGGAGCTATGCACTTTTAAATCTTGTAGGTTGAAAACGCATTTCTATAGAACTGATTTTGGTGTTTAGTTTGTTGTCCTTCTCCCGCACCTCCGATCAGCATGGTTGGCTAAGTACGGTGCGAAAGAAGTTCAACTTACAGTCCAACTCACGTTAATTATCCGTGGATCTGCTCGTGTGCGTGTGTGTTTCAGATTTACAAAAACAAAAAGGATCGTGAATATGTTGATGCTCAGGATGAATCTAAGTCAAACTGGATGAGGTGATTTTTGTCTTAAGGACCACAACACAGAGATCAGAACCACTACACACAGAGACCAGAACCACCACACACAGAGACCAGAACCACTACACACAGAGACCAGAACCACCACACACAGAGACCAGAACCACCACACACAGAGACCAGAACCACTACACACAGAAACCAGAACCTGCACACAGAGACCAGAACCACTACACTCAGAGACCAGAACCACCACACACAGAGACCAGAACCACCAACACAGAGACCAAACCACCACACACAGAGACCAGAACCACCACACACACAGAGACCAGAACCACCACACACAGAGACCAGAACCACTACACTCAGAGACCAGAACCACCACACACAGAGACCAGAACCACCACACACAGAGACCAGAACCACCACACACAGAGACCAGAACCACCACACACAGAGACCAAACCACTACACACAGAGACCAGAACCACTACACACAGAAACCGAACCACCACACACAGAGACCAGAACCACTAAAGAGACCAGAACCACTACACACAGAGACCAACCCTGGGCCTCCCCTTGGTCGACTCGGCATCAAATGAGCACCCGGTACGGAGCGTGGTTCCAGCCACACCACCCCCACGTAGCGCCCAGTGCCGGCCCTTAATAGGCGCTCGCTAACGGCGCCCACCCCGCCCCCGCGTCTGCCCGCGCAGGTTCGTCAACTGCGCGAGGAATGAGCAGGAGCAGAACCTGGTGGCCTTCCAGCACCGGGGCAGATTTACTACCGCACATTCCGTGCCGTGGGGCCCGGCTCTGAGCTGCTGGTCTGGTACGGCGAGGAGTTCGCCCAGGAGCTGGGCATCGCCTGCGAGGCCGGGCCCTCGCGACGCCGCAGCAGGAGCAGCAGCAACGAGATGGCTCCCAGGGCCACCGCCAGAGACCTGCAGCCCGTGCAGCCTCCACCAAGCGAGGAACACTGTGAGCACCGCTCACCAGAGACTCGCCACTGCTCACCAGACTATAGCCACCACTCACCAGAGATGATAGCCACCACTCACCAGAGATGATTAGCCACCACTCACCAGAGATTATAGCCACCACTCACCAGAGATGATAGCCACCACTCACCAGAGACATAGCCACCACTCACCACAGATTATAGCCACCACTCACCAGAGATGATAGCCACTGCTCACCAAGATATAGCCACCACTCACCAGAGATGATTGCCACCACTCACCAGAGATGATAGCCACCACTCACCAGAGATGATAGCCACCACTCCCCATAGATGATAGCCACCACTCACCGAGATGATAGCCACCACTCCCCATATGATAGCCACCACTCACCAGAGACGATAGCCACCACTCACCAGAGATGATAGCCACCACTCAACAGAGATGATAGCCACTGCTCACCAAAGATAATAGCCACCACTCCCCATAGATGATAGCATCCACTCACCAGAGATGATAGCCACCACTCACCAGAGATGATAGCCACCACTCACCAGAGATGATAGCCACCGCTCACCGGATGATAGCAACCACTCACCAGAGATGATAGCCTCGACTCATTAGAGATGATAGCAACCCTCACCAGAGATGATAGCCACTGCTCACCAAAGATAATAGCCACCACTCCCCATAGATGATAGCATCCACTCACCAGAGATGATAGCCACCACTCACCAGAGACGATAGCCACACTCACCAGAGATGATAGCCACCACTCAACAGAGATGATAGCCACTGCTCACCAAAGATATAGCCACCACTCCCATAGATGATAGCCCCACTCACCAGAGATGATAGCCACCACTCACCAGAGATGATAGCCACCACTCCCCATAGATGATAGCCACCACTCACCAGAGATGATAGCCACCACTCCCCATAGATGATAGCCACCACTCACCAGAGACGATAGCCACCACTCACCAGAGATGATAGCCACCACTCACAGAGATGATAGCCACTGCTCACCAAAGATAATAGCCACCACTCCCCATAGATGATAGCATCCACTCACCAGATGATAGCCACCACTCACCAGAGATGATAGCCACCACTCACCAGAGATGATAGCCACCGCTCACCGGATGATAGCAACCACTCACCAGAGATGATAGCCTCGACTCACTAGAGATGATAGCAACCACTCACCAGAGATGATAGCCACCACTCACCAAGATGATAGCCTCCACTCACTAGAGATGATAGCCACCACTCACCAGAGATGATAGCCACCACTCACCAGAGATGAAAGCCATCACTCACCAGAGATGATAGCCACCTCACCAGAGATGATAACCACCGCTCACCAGAGATGATAGCCACCACTCACCAGAGATGATAGGCACCACTCACTAGAGATGATAGCCACCACTCACCAGAGATGATAACCACCGCTCAACAGAGAAGATAGCCACCACTCAACAGAGATGATAGCCACTGCTCACCAAAGATAATAGCCACCACTCCCCATAGATGATAGCATCCACTCACCAGAGATGATAGCCACCACTCACCAGAGATGATAGCCACCACTCAACAGATGATAGCCACTGCTCACCAAAGATAATAGCCACCACTCCCCATAGATGTTGCATCCACTCACCAGAGATGATAGCCACCACTCACCAGAGACGATAGCCACCACTCACCAGAGATGATAGCCACCACTCAACAGAGATGATAGCCACTGCTCACCAAAGATAATAGCCACCACTCCCCATAGATGATAGCCACCACTCACCAGAGATGATAGCCACCACTCACCAGAGATGATAGCCACCACTCCCCATAGATGATAGCCACCACTCACCAGAGATGATAGCCACCACTCCCCATAGATGATAGCCACCACTCACCAGAGACGATAGCCACCACTCACCAGAGATGATAGCCACCACTCAACAGAGATGATAGCCACTGCTCACCAAAGATAATAGCCACCACTCCCCATAGATGATAGCATCCACTCACCAGAGATGATAGCCACCACTCACCAGAGATGATAGCCACCACTCACCAGAGATGATAGCCACCGCTCACCGAGATGATAGCAACCACTCACCAGATGATAGCCTCGACTCATTAGAGATGATAGCAACCACTCACCAGAGATGATAGCCACTGCTCACCAAAGATAATAGCCACCACTCCCCATAGATGATAGCATCCACTCACCAGAGATGATAGCCACCACTCACCAGAGGACGATAGCCACCACTCACCAGAGATGATAGCCACCACTCAACAGAGATGATAGCCACTGCTCACCAAAGATAATAGCCACCACTCCCCATAGATGATAGCCACCACTCACCAGAGATGATAGCCACCACTCACCAGAGATGATCGCCACCCCACCCCATAGATGATAGCCACCACTCACCAGAGATGATAGCCACCACTCCCATAGATGATAGCCACCACTCACCAGAGACGATAGCCACCACTCACCAGAGATGATAGCCACCACTCAACAGAGATGATAGCCACTGCTCACCAAAGATAATAGCCACCACTCCCCATAGATGATAGCATCCACTCACCAGAGATGATAGCCACCACTCACCAGAGATGATAGCCACCACTCAACAGAGATGATAGCCACCGCTCACGGAGATGATAGCAACCACTCACCAGAGATGATAGCCTCGACTCACTAGAGATGATAGCACACCACTCACCAGAGATGATAGCCACCATCACCAGAGATGATAGCCTCCACTCACTAGAGATGATAGCCACCACTCTCCAGAGATGATAGCCACCACTCACCAGAGATAAAGCCATCACTCACCAGAGATGATAGCCACCGCTCACCAGAGATGATAACCACCGCTCACCAGCGATGATAGCCACCACTCACCAGAGATGATAGGCACCACTCACTAGAGATGATAGCCACCACTCACCAGAGATGATAACCACCGCTCAACAGAGACGATAGCCACCACTCAACAGAGATGATAGCCACTGCTCACCAAAGATAATAGCCACCACTCCCCATAGATGATAGCATCCACTCACCAGAGATGATAGCCACCACTCACCAGAGATGATAGCCACCACTCAACAGAGATGATAGCCACTGCTCACCAAAGATAGATAGCCACCACTCCCATATGCTGATAGCATCCACTCCACCAGAGATGATAGCCACCACTCACCAGAGACGATAGCCACCACTCACCAGAGATGATAGCCACTGCTCACCAAAGATAATAGCCACCACTCCCCATAGATGATAGCATCCACTCACCAGAGATATAGCCACCACTCACCAGAGACGATAGCCACCACTCAACAGAGATGATAGCCACTGCTCACCAAAGATAATAGCCACCACTCCCATAGATGATAGCCACCACTCACCAGAGATATAGCCACCACTCACCAGAGATGATAGCCACCACTCACCAGAGATGATAGCCACCACTCCCCATAGATGATAGCCACCACTCACCAGAGATGATAAGCCACCACTCCCCATAGATGATAGCCACACTCACCGAGACGATAGCCACCACTCACCAGAGATGATAGCCACACTCAACAGAGATGATAGCCACTGCTCACCAAAGATAATAGCCACCACTCCCATAGATGATAGCATCACTCACCAGAGATGATAGCCACCACTCACCAGAGATGATAGCCACCACTCACCAGAGATGATAGCCACCACTCACCAGCGATGATAGCCTCCACTCACCAGAGATGATAGCCACCACTCACCAGAGCTGTATAGCCACCACTCACCAGAGATGATAGCCACCACTCACCAGAGAATGATAGCCACCAACTCACCAGAGATGATAGCACCACTCACCAGAGATGATAGGCCCACTCACTAGAGATGATAGCCACCACTCACCAGAGATGATAACCACCGCTCACCAGCGACGATAGCCACCACTCACTAGAGATGATAGCCACCACTCACCAGAGATGATAGGCACCACTCACTAGAGATGATAGCCACCACCCTCACCAGAGATGATAACCACCGCTCACCAGAGACGATAGCCACCACTCAACAGAGATGATAGCCATGCTCACCAAAGATAATATCCACCACTCCCCATAGATGATAGCACTCCACTCACCAGAGATGATAGCCCCACTCACAGAGATGATAGCCACCACTCAACAGAGATGATAGCCACTGCTCACAAAGATAATAGCCACCACTCCCCATAGATGAGCATCCACTCACCAGAGATGATAGCCACCATCACCAGAGGATGATAGCCCACATCACCAGAGATGATAGCCACACTCACCAGGACGATCGCCACCACTCATAGAGATGATAGCCACCACTCAACAGAGATGATAGCCACTGCTCACCAAAGATAATAGCCACCACTCCCCATAGATGATAGCATCCACTCACCAGAGATGATAGCCACACTCACCAGAGATGATAGCCACCACTCACAGAGATGATAGCCACCACTCACCAGATATGATAGCCACCACTCACCAGAGACGATAGCCACCACTTCACCAGAGATGATAGCCACCACTCACAGAGATTGATAGCCACCACTCACCAGAGATGATAGCCACCACTCAACAGAGATGATAGCCACTGCTCACCAAAGATAATAGCCACCGCTCCCCATAGATGCTAGCGATCCACTCACCAGAGATGATAGCCACCATCACCAGAGATAGCCACCACTCACCAGAGATGATAGCCACCACTCAACAGAGATGATAGCCACTGCTCACCAAAGATAATAGCCACCACTCCCATAGATAGCATCCACTCACCAGAGATGATAGCCACCACTCACCAGAGATGATAGCCACCACTCACCAGAGATGATAGCCACCACTCACCAGAGATGATAGCCACCACTCACCAGAGATGAAGCCACCACTCACCAGAGATGATAGCCACCACTCACCAGAGATGATAGCCACCACTCACCAGAGATGATAGCCACCACTCCCCATAGATGATAGCCACCACTCACCAGAGATGATAGCCACCACTCCCCATAGATGATAGCCACCACTCACCAGAGACGATAGCCACCACTCACCAGAGATGATAGCCACCACTCAACAGAGATGATAGCCCTGCTCACCAAAGATAATAGCCACCACTCCCCATAGATGATAGCATCCACTCACCAGAGATGATAGCCACCACTCACCAGAGATGATAGGCCAACACTCACCAGAGATGATAGCCACCAATCACCAGCGATGATAGCCTCCACTCACCAGAGATGATAGCCACCACTCACCAGAGATGATAGCCACCACTCACAGAGATGATAGCACCACTCACCAGAGATGCATAGCCACCACTCACCAGAGATGATAACCACCGCTCACCAGAGCCGATAGCCACCACTCACTAGAGATGATAGCCACCACTCACCAGAGATGATAGGCACCACTCACTAGAGATGATAGCCACCATCACAGAGATGATAACCACGCTCACCAGAGACGATAGCCACCACTCAACAGAGATGATAGCCACTGCTCACCAAAGATAATAGCCACCACTCCCCATAGATGATAGCATCCACTCACCGAGATGATAGCCACCACTCACCAGAGGATAGCCACCACTCACCAGAGATGATAGCCACCGCTCACCGGAGATGATAGCAACCACTCACCAGAGATGATGCCTCGACTCATTAGAGATGATAGCAACCCACTCACCCAGAGATGATAGCCACTGCTCACCAAAGATAATAGCCACCACTCCCCATAGATGATAGCTCCACTCACCAGAGATGATAGCCACACTCACCAGAGACGATAGCCACCACTCACCAGAGAGATAGCCACCACTCAACAGAGATGATAGCCACTGCTCACCAAGATTAATAGCCACCACTCCCCATAGATGATAGCCACCCACTCACCAGAGATGATAGCCACCACTCACCAGAGATGATAGCCACCACTCCCCATAGATGATAGCCACCACTCACCAGAGATGATAGCCACCACTCCCCATAGATGATAGCCACCACTCACCAGAGACGATAGCCACCACTCACCAGAGATGATAGCCACCACTCAACAGAGATGATAGCCACTGCTCACCAAGATAATAGCCACCACTCCATAGATGATAGCATCCACTCACCAGAGATGATAGCCACCACTCACAGAGATGATAGCCACCACTCACCAGAGATGATAGCCACCGCTCACCGGAGATGATAGCAACCACTCACCAGAGATGATAGCCTCGACTCACTAGAGATGATAGCCACCACTCACCAGAGATGATAGCCACCAATCACCAGAGAGATAACCACCGCTCACCAGAGACGATAGCCACCACTCAACTAGAGATGATAGCCCCACTCACCAGAGATGATAGGCACCACTCACTAGAGATGATAGCCACCACTCACCAGAGATGATAACCATCCGCACTCACAGAGACGATAGCCACCACTCAACAGAGATGATAGCCACTGCCTCACCAAGATAATAGCCACCACTCCCCATAGATGATAGCATCCACTCACAGAGATGATAGCCACCACTCACCAGCGATGATAGCCACACTCAACAGAGATGATAGCCACCGCTCACCGGAGATGATAGCCACCACTCCCCATAGATGATAGCATCCACTCACCAGAGATGATAGCCACCACTCACCAGAGATGATAGCCACCCCAACTCACCAGAGATGATAGCCACCACTCACCAGAGACGATAGCCACCACTCACTAGAGATGATAGCCACCACTCAACAGAGATGATAGCCACTGCTCACCAAAGATAATAGCCACCACTCCCCATAGATGATAGCATCCACTCACCAGAGATGATAGCCACCACTCACCAGAGATGATAGCCACCACTCACCAGAGATGATAGCCACCACTCACCAGAGATGATAGCCACCACTCACCAGAGACGATAGCCACCACTCACCAGAGATGATAGCCACCACTCACCAGAGATGATAGCCACCACTCACCAGAGATGATAGCCACCACTCAACAGAGATGATAGCCACTGCTCACCAAAGATAATAGCCACCGCTCCCCATAGATGATAGCATCCACTCACCAGAGATGATAGCCACCACTCACCAGAGATGATAGCCACCACTCACCAGAGATGATAGCCACCACTCAACAGAGATGATAGCCACTGCTCACCAAAGATAATAGCCACCACTCCCCATAGATGATAGCATCCACTCACCAGAGATGATAGCCACCACTCACCAGAGATGATAGCCACCACTCACCAGAGATGATAGCCACCACTCACCAGAGATGATAGCCACCACTCACCAGAGATGATAGCCACCACTCACAACAGATGATAGCCACCACTCACCAGAAATGATAGCCACCACTCACCAGAGATGATAGGCACCACCCACACTGATAAGGTGCAAATGAGTAACTGGTGTGGTGTGTAGTAGTAAACATCGCCACTGGGGAGACAAAGGCGGCCATGTGTGGTGCTGGCCACCCTCCCACTCATGTGCCATGCTGGCTTTCATACAGTGAGGGAAAAAGGATTTGATCCCCTGCTGATTTTGTACGTTTGCCCACTGGCAAAGAAATGATCAGTCTATAATTTTAATGGTAGGTTTATTTGAACCGTGAGAGACAGAATAACAACAACAAAAAATCCAGAAAAACGCATGTCAAAAATGTTATAAATTGATTTGCATTTTTTAAAATCAGCAGGGGATCAAATACTTTTTTCCCTCACTGTAGGTGCCCGATAACAGCACTTGTCCCAAAAGTATATACAGGCTATACGGGGGTTCTTCGTCTTTGTGTGTATATATAATGGAGCCCACTGCACTACGAACCCGGCCACCTGAGTTCGATTCCCACTCACGGCCAACGTCAGTGGTGAATATTTAGGCCTCCCCTAGGCTGACTCAGCCTCAAATGTGTACCTAGCTTAAACGTGGAAACATCGCCACTGGAGAGACAAAGGCGGCCGGGCCTGGTGTTGGCCACCTACTCCCTCGTGTGCCATGCCGGCCTTCATAGGTACTCGCAAACAGCACTTGCCCAACAGTCTGATATGGCTGTTGGGGACCTTTACCTTTGTATGTACACACACACGTGTGCAAGAGTGTTCATGTATCGGTGTTGGTGTGTGCGCGTGTGTCTTGTGCCTCTGGGATGACGCAGGTGGAGTGGGTGTGGAGGTGACAAGGCTGCCGTGTCCTGTCTGCAACCGTCAGTTCATCTGCCGCTCTAGTCTACAGCATCACGTGCAGAGGAAACACCCCACTAAGCCCAGTAACAAAAGTCATCAGTGTGACCAATGTTCATTCAGCACAGACTACAAGTGTAGCTTGAAGATGCACCAGAGAACACACACGGGAGAGAAGCCGTTCAAGTGCACCGTGTGTGAGAAGGCGTTTGCACATTTAGGATATCTTCATAGCCACCAGAGAACACACACGGGAGAGAAGCCGTTCAAGTGCACCGTGTGTGAGAAGGCGTTTGCACATCTATCACATTTTCACAGGCATCAGAGAACACACACAGGAGAGAAGCCGTTCAAGTGCACCGTATGTGAGAAGGCGTTTGCACAGCTATCACATCTTCACAGCCACCAGAGAACACACACAGGAGAGAAGCCGTTCAAGTGCACCGTGTGTGAGAAGGCATTTGCACATTTACAACATCTTCACAGCCACCAGAGAACACACACCGGCCAGGATGCATTTTCTCCTTCCCGTGGAAACAGAAAAGTCAGCCATCCTGAGCAAAACGTGCACTGCGCCGAGCTGTGAATTAGTTTTAAACAACAGGCCACGTGATTAGCCGAGGCTGTGCCACCCTTGAAACTGATTTTGAATGTGAACACGGAAACCTACGGATCCTCCTACACCTGCCTCACACTCTGTGGGGGGTGGGAGATTAAACCGACCCGGCCACCCCTCGATTGCAAGTGCGGAGTTCTAGGTCCCAACCACTGCACGTGTCCCCCCCCACCCCCATCACCTGGGGGTCCCTGTGTGTGTGAGTGTGCAGAGTCTCCCGTGCAGAGCTGCACTGTTGTTACCCTAGAGGGGGACACCGCAGGGCGATCCACCTACAGACACCCCAGTCTGCACGTCTCCCGCCGGTCTCCATGCGCACCGCGTGCCGTCTCGTAGCCCTGCCCCGTGCGACGTACGTACAGTACGTACAGTACATACCCATCCAGCGGTAGACTGAACCGCGGCCGATGACGAAGGTGGCATCCGCTCACAAATCTCCGTGCACTCAGTCCCGTAGCCCCGAGCCATCGCTTGCGCGATATTCACTTTGCCGCTGAGATGAAAGCTACGGGGAGGAGGTGGGGTGGGGGTGCTAGGAGAGGACATCTGTGGAACGGCTGGAGATCTGCGAAGAAGAGCTTCATAGCTCATCGGATTCCTGCGGTCTGAAAAAATATTCCGAGAGGGCGTTGGGGGAGGGGGGTGTAGGTATGATTGGGGCATCTGCACTTGGATCACCCTGCGTGTTGTTGCTGCCTCCCCCGTTGAAAATGTTCCCAGCGTGAACTTCACCCTTTGCCGTCGCGACGACGCCGCGCGCCGTGCGTGAACGTCGTCGTCGGAATAACAAAACGCAGTAAAAACTAAAGCAACATTATCGGTACCGAGGCTCCCACAGGGCCACGCGGGGCAGGGAGTGTGGCACAGTTTTCGCGCCGGCTAGCGCAGAGTGGCGGCGGTCGTGTCGCTACGCTTCTCTGCGGTGAGCAACGACGTCTTTATAACAACAACAGCAGTGCTGCTGCTGCTGCCACTGCTGCGGTGAACGGTGACAGCCACCCCGTGACCTGTGACCCCCACCCCGTGAACGGTGACACCCACCCCGTGAACGGTGACACTCACCCCGTGAACGGTGACCCCCACCCCGTGAACGGTGACACCCCATGGGTGGAAAAAACCCGATTTTTCCAGCTGCAGGCATCGGGTTTTTTCTTTAACACAATTAAACCCGATTTCGGGGAATTAAAACCTGGTTTAATGAATACGAAACTCTGATAGGCTTAGGCTGCTTCCTCGTCGGTGCTGCTATGGTACTCGGGGCCGTCGGGCACGGGGTAGTCGTAGAATGCGGCGGGCAGGTTGGTCTTAATGAACACGAGCTTCTCCACAATCGTGGGCGCCAGTGAGTTCCTTAGCTTGGAATGGATGAAGCCCATCGTTGAGAAGTGCGGTTCTGCAATTAGAACCAATGAAACCGGATTTCTCTCAATCTTAGATGATCGGGTTTAATATAAAAAGACAATTAAACCCGATTGTAAAAAACCCGACTGTGCCACCCTTGTGACACCCACCCCGTGAACGGTGACACCCACCCTGTGAACGGTGACACCCACCCCGTGAACGGTGACACCCACCGACCCTGCAACTCTGCAGACGTCTCGGACGCGGGAAAGGGTTGAGAGATTTTCTGCGTCGTCCCGGTTGCTCGCGTGATGTCGCACGGTGGTGGCGCGCGTTGACTCTTGCACGTTTAAGAAAGTTGAGCGTTAGTTTGTGATTCTGTTTAAAATGATATATATACATACTTAAACTAACAAACATTATCTTGGGATTCTACCAAGTAAGGTCCAACTGGATACGTAGTAGCTCTTTTATCAGACGCGACCACCTGGCCATCACAAATGAAAGCTCAACGAAGTGGCTTATCATTGTGTGGACATTTATAGCGGCCAAATACTCTGATTGCGTGATCTCGATTCTAAATGTCGAGGGAAAACCGGAGGACCTGGAGAAAATCCACACGACCACGGGGAGAGAGAGAGAGAGAGACGCGCAAACTCAAAATATACAGCAGGCGTCAGGGTCGGAATCAAACACACAATCTCCTGTATACCAGGAGAGGTAGTTAACATCTCAACATGCGTTCAGAGTATTTGGCTGCTGTAAATGTCACGTGATAAGCCACTTCGGTGCGCTGCTGTCATTTGTGATAGCCAGGTCGCTGCTACACAGCTCAGTGGGGGCCTTACCTGGAAAAGTAAAATGAATAATGAAAATCTACTGTATTCTTGGTTCTTTTGGTAAAGTCACGTAGAAGGGAAATAATAAAATAATAAAAATGTAAGAATCAAATTAACACGACGTTTCGATTGCAACACAAGCAATCATCAGTTTATGAAAACCCACAACAACAAAAACAATATTGCTGTGGTTTTCACACCTGATGATGATTGCTTGTGTTGCAATCGAAACGTCGTGAGAATTTTATTGTTTTATTATTTCCCTTCAACGTGACTCTACCGAAAGAACCAAGAAGATGAATCCCTGCAGTCACGAAAGCTTTAAATCGAAATTTTACATCGACTTTGATTGCTTCAACCAGAAAAACTGTAATAATAACCCTAAAATGCTTCAATTGATCAAATTGAGATGCTTCCATTTATACGCTTTTTAGATATCGATTGAAGTTCGTTGTCGGCTGTTCTCTGTATGGATAATTGCCTTTGAACTTTCACATGGGGCATATTCTGCCCTGGAGGGGGTATGGTCTGGACCAGTCTAGTTTAAACCCCCGGGTATAGTTTAGCCTAGGACACTTCATCCCCCCGGGTATACTCTGGCCTGGGCCAAACTATACCCGGGTTTAATCGGGGCAGGGGTTATTGTAGCCTGTTACACCGGTATCTCCAGGAGGTCGGAGCGACTTGCTCTGTGGTGACACTTTTTCGTGACAGAGGTTTGTTTTTTGTTGTTGTTGGGTTAGAGATCTCGTAAACATCAACATTGTGTCGTTAACCCACCACCACCCACCACAATCGCCTGACACGGCCAATCAGTCAGGGTTTGTCACGTAAACGAAACGTGCCAATTGGTTACCAACTTCAGCACACACAGCGCTTGTGTGTCAGGGAGAGTGAACCCACAACAGCATTTACAATTCGAGTGCCGGTGACGTTTCGCCGGTGATTACAAACAACGGCGACCGGTTTCATCGGGCGATGTGCCAGGATTGTGATCCAACGCCATCTAACCCAGCAGCAGCAACAGTAGCGACGACGACGACAAAAACCTTCATCACAGACACCGCTGGTCGCAAGAGACTGCGCGTGGCGCTTTGTGTTGCCGTTGCCACGAATCGTCGAAGCGCGTTCACGATCTGTTTGTGTTTTATTATTTAATAATAAAATTATAAAAATAAACATTTACTTTATTATGTTATATTTTTATGGAAATAATAAAAATAATAAAAATAAAACAAGAAGTAATTGTTTATTTTTATATTTTATTATTTAATATTAGAATAATAAAAATAACATTTACTTTATTATGTTTTATTTTTATGGAAATAATAAAATTTAAACAATAAAGTCATTGTTTTATAATTATTATTTTTATTTAATAATAAAATAATAAAAATAACATTTTATTTATGTTTTATTTTATTTATTTTATTATTTCCATTCTACGTGACTTTACCGAAAGAACCAAGAAGAGGTGGTCATTGTTGCGTTCCTGAAGAACACCGCGTTGTGGAGAAATAATATAACTATGGGGGGTGAAGCGTGGTCCGCGACAACACGCGAGATGATGGGTGAGACAGAGGCCGGACTACGACTGAGGCGCGTGGGTAGCGTTGTGGGGGCCGTTGGCCCCCGGGGTCCCTCCCGCCAGCATCCCCTATTCCGTTTAAGTTACCCCACCTCCCTATTACTCGCTACGGTTTTGCCGGCATTCGAATGCGACGCCACTACGGTTACAGCCTCGCGCCGCGCTCCCACGCTGCGAGCATACGTGCGCACATCATCGTCAATCAAACGCCGTGCTCGCAGTATAGCCCTGTGCGGCACGTTACCAATGCGCATCCGTGTCCGACATGTAACGAACGTATGCACACACACACACGCCGCTCCGTGCACTCCAACTCCACACCAACTACGCAAGTTATGATCGCGCACCTGTATCACACACGGAGTGAACACACGCGACACCCACTCTTGCGCCGCTCTGCGCAGCGCTCGCCGTCTGCTGGCCGCTTGCGTTATGATCGCGCACCTGGGGTACGCCTATTACGCACGCCGCGAGCTTACGCACACACAGTACCACACGCGTTCCCACACGCAACCCGCGCGCTCAGCTCCGCGCAGCGCTCACTCACGTGGCGAACCACTGTGCACACAGCGCACCCACACGCTCACACTGCACGACAAGGTCACGCGAGACCACGCTTCGCTATTAATGATTTATTATATGCCACCTGCGAATTGATGTTGAATCAGTGAGTCGACGAGGCTGGCCTATTCCACTAAACCTGTACCTATTCCCTATTTATCGGCTATGATTCTAATTCCCCTTCTTACTCACTGTTAAGTGTCCACGGCGGTCCGCTGATCCTTGTGTTAACCGCGTGCCTCGGTGCGTCGCACGGACGTCCGGGTCGCTGGCTCGAGCTGCGTCTGGTCGCCTGGCGCTGGAGTAAGAGCGCGATTTCCCCTCTGCGCTCCTCTATTTATCCTCCCTACCTCCCAAAGGGGATGCTGCGCTGAACAATGGGCTCGTGCACCCCAAGCCCGCGCACGGCAGTCCCCAGGCGCTGTTGATATGCTAATCAGTGTGCTGCGTGCAAGGCGTAAATCCTAATTACTCCCTTACCCTTCCTACCAATGGGGCTTGCGCGCTCAAGCGCAATTATCCCAACCCTCCATGACTATGCGCAACAGCCCCTGTGACCCCGCTATTCATGCTGTCCCGTGCCTCCCCTGCTTGCCCCGTCGACTCGTGGGGGTGTGTGTGGGGGGAAATGCGCCTCAACCGCGGTGGCCGAATGCCCCACGCCGCGACCACACCATATTAAGGCCGGCAGCAGCGCCGCGGTACCACGTAGCACGGGGGAGGTCATCCAATTCCCTGATCGCCGGAAACCGTGAGAATTAATCCCGATAAGGGTCTCTCGGATAAAAACCGGTCGATCAGGTAACCTTCCCTTCCAGCTCTATGGGGGGGGGGGGGGGGATGCGTGCGGGTGTGTGCTTATGTGGGGCGGGTGATTGGGGGCAGTGCGGTGGGGGAAGCCGGGCGGCTCCCTGGCTCGGCAGAGCGGCCCCGTCGCTGTGGCACCACATAGCCCCCCGGGGTGCCAGTCCCCGTCCCGGGTTGACTTGAGCACCTCGCCTGGGTTGCCCCCACGAGGTATCGCCGCGGGGTCCGCGGGATTCGCCCGGCCCTTGTGGTTGGCCTCGGGGGTGGCGGCTCCGTCTCCTGGGGCTCCGGCGGGGGTCTCCTCCTCCATTCCAACGGCTCCCCTCGGCCTCTGGCACCTGCGGGCTGGGGAACAAACTCAGAGGCGGTGGGGTTTAAGGGTCGCCGTCCTCGTCGCCCCCGGCCCCGCCCGGGGCCCCTCGGAGCCCGGGGCTCCGTGGGGCCCATGTACTGCGCGAGGCCCCCGGGCACGGGGGGTGGGGGGACCCCGGGGTTTCGGGGTACTTGGACGGCGGGGCTCCCCCCTCGGGGGCTGCTCGCCACGGCTTCAGTCGGCGGATGTTGACCACCATCTCCCGGCCCCCTCTCTCCTCCCTGAATCAGCACCGTCCATGGTGAGATCTGCCGTCTCACAATCCAGGGTCCTCGCCAGTAGGTGGTCAGCTTCCCCACCTGTCCGGCACCGACGCAGGGAGTGTACAGCCACACCTCGGAGCCCGCAGTGTAGAAGGGGGGCTCCAACGGGGTCGGGCGCCCTGCTCTTGCCGCTGGTGCGCGGCCTCCTCCGTGCGGGCAGGCTCGGCCCCCTGGCCCTCGCAGGGTCTCCAGCAAGTGCTCCACGGGGTGGCTCCCTTCCTCCCGTTGCGGCGGAGTAGGAACACCGAACAGCAGATCTGCGGGCAGGCGAGACTCGCGACCAAACATCATAGGAACGGGGTCTGTCCTGTAGAGGTGTGAACGGCGGTGGTGTAGGCGAACAGGGCATAGGGAAGGTGTTCGTCCCAGTCCTGTTGATTCGCGTGCCGCCATGCGTTTAAGCTTCCCGGCCAGAGTCTGGTTCATCCTCTCTACCATCCGTTCGCTGGGGGTGATACGCCGTGGTTCGGTTCCTTCTGGATCCCGAACTCTCGGCACAGCGCCTGAAATAATTCGGCCTCGAATTCACTACCCTGGTCGGTAATGACTCGTTCGGGGATCCGCACTTAAGTACATAGTTTTCCACGAAGGCCCGGGCCACCTACAAGGGCTGTTTTATCTGGGATAGCCACCGCCACGGGGTAGCGGGTGAAGTACTTCCACCGCTACGAGGAATATATCGGTTGCCCCGGTGGGATCGTGGAAAGGGCCCCTGCAGGTCGATTCCGACCAACTGATTCGTCCGACTGACTCGGAACGGCCTCAGGGGTACCTGGTACCTCGCCGGCTTTTGCCCACACTGCTGACAGGCCCGGCAGCCCTGCACCCAGGCCGGCCACATCTTGTGCCAATTTGGGCCAGAGATACTGGCGACGCAGGGTCTCCCGGGTGCGCCGTTCCCCATCATGGCCCCCGAGTGGGTGGTCATGCACCAGCCGTAGCAGCTGGGGTCGCACCTGGGCAGGAACACAGATGCACCCCGGCTGGCCGGCCTCGGTTAACTCCCGTACCACTCCGTTCCGCACACACAACCGGGCATACAAACCGCTCCAGGGTCCTGGTAGGGCGCTCTTTTCCTCCCGCAGTGCCGCCTCCACTGCCGCCAGATCCGGATCTCGCTGCTGGGTCTGTCTCAGCTGCTCGTCGTTTAGGCCCGGGAAGGCGCAGCCGACGTCCTCCTGGATCCGTCCAATCGGGTCCCGAGCCGCGGGTCCCGCGCTTGCGGGCGGTCGACGGGATCCTCAGTGCCACCTGTGAGGGTTTCCGTGGCGCACACTGCACTCTCTCTCGCTGGGGGGGGGTCAGTGGCCGCGGCCTCTCGGGGGTCCGTTGCCTGCCGGCAGCGTCCCCCCGTGAAACACGGGCAGGCCTCCTCCGCCCTCGTCTCGGCGTACACCGTGGGTCGCCTCGATCAAGGCGTCCGCGTTTGCATGCGTCCGGCCAGCCCGATACTCGATTTGCAGGTTGTACTCCTGCAACTGCGCCAACCACCGGGCC